GTAACATACGCCCACTGGCAGCTGTCAGAGATGATAAAACAGTCTTTAGTGACTAAAGTATGAATTTTCTCATATGAAATTTTGATAGTTTGAATTCATTGACATATATATTTACTGCCAGTTATTTATGCTGAGAAATACCACAAAAGTTTTAAAGATAGCTTGCGATGCAAGGTAACATACGCCCACAGTCTTTAGTGACTAAAGTACGAATTTTCTCATATTGAAGAAATTATTTATGCTGAATAATTCCACAAAATTTTTTAAAATCAATATCAATAACCCAAATACAACAAACAATCAAATCACACAGCTCTAATCAAGGGCAAAAAAGAACTTTTTTACAAAGTCAAGGGCAATAACTCAAAAAATGTTCATCAAAAATATATCTTGTTAGAACTTGTCCGAGATCTTATCAATTCCAATGATCACACCAAGTTTCATCAAAATCGGTTGAAAACTGTAGCTTCTATTGTGCTGACAAACAAATTTTGACACGTCTTTCGTAAGTTAATGGCAACAACTCAAAAACATTTCATCGAAAATGCGTCAAGTTAGAAATTGTCCGAGATCTTATCAATTTCAATGATCACACCAAGTTTCATCAAAATCGGTTGAAATCTGTAGCTTCAATCCTGCTCACGATCTATTCTTAAAAAATGTTGACGCGTTTTTACAAAGTCAAGGGCAATAACTCAAAAACCATTCATTGAAAATGTGTTAAATTAGAACTTGTCCGAGATCTTATCAATTCCAATGATCACACTAAGTTTCATCAGAATCGGTTGAAAACTGTAGCTTCAATCCCGCTCACGAACTATTTTTAACAAATTTCAACACGTTTTAACAAAGTCAAGGGCAATAACTCAAAAACTTTTCATCGAAAATGTGTCAAGTTAGTACTTGTCCGAGATCTTATCAATTCCAATGATCACACCAAGTTTCATCAGAATCGGTTGAAATCTGTAACTTCAATCCTGCTCACGATCTATTCTTAAAAAATTTTGACGCGTTTTTACAAAGTCAAGGGCAATAACTCAAAAACCATTCATTGAAAATGTGTCAAATTAGAACTTGTCCGAGATCTTATCAATTCCAATGATCACACCAAGTTTCATCAGAATTGATTGAAAACTGTAGCATCAATCCTGCTCACAAACTATTTTTAACAAATTTCGACACGTTTTAACAAAGTCAAGGGCAATAACTCAAAAACCGTTTATCAAAAATGCATCAAGTTAGAACTTGTCTGAGATCTTATCAATTCCAATGATCACACCAAGTTTCATCAGAATTGGTTGAAAACTGTAGCTTCAATCCTGCTCACGAACTATTTTAACAAATTTCGAATGCGTTTTAACAAAGTCAAGGGCAATAACTCAAAAACCATTCATCGAAAATGCGTCAAGTTAGAATTTGTCCGAGATCTTATGAATTCCAATGATCACACCAAGTTTCATGAGAATCAGTTGAAAGCTGTAGCTTCAATCCTGCTCATGAACTATTTTCAACAAATTTCGACGCGTTTTAACAAAGTCAAGGGCAATATCTCAAAAAACGTTCATAGAAAATATGTCAAATTCAAACTTGACTGAGATCTTATCAATCTAAAGCATCACACCAAGTCTTATCAAAATCAGATGAAAACTGTAGTCTCTATAGTGCTCACAAGAAATGTTGACGGACCGACGGACCGACGGACCAACGGACAGGGGCGACGGCAATATACGTCCACATATCCATGTGTGCGTATAAAAGCGCTTTTCAATTCTTCGATTCTATATTTTTCAAGTCCTTTGACTTTCAATAGGGTTCATCCTTTGGAGATACCATTAAGATAAACAATTTATCAAATTTCGTCAAAATCTGTCAAGAATTGTGCCTTGTAGAATGTTTACGAACAATTGTAGGCGGACCAACATATATACGCTCCACATTATCCAGTTTGACTCTCTCAACAACATTTAATATTTTAAAAAAATAAACAGAATTCAAATAATCCACCCTAGTTTGGGAAATCATGGACGTTTTCTCTGTATGAGCAAAATAGTTTTTACTAGTTTCTTGGTATGTTTTCACAACTTAAACCAACAGTTCCACCCACATGCATGTTTGTTTTCTGTGTAATCAGTTAAGTGAAGAGATCAGGGCCATTGCAGCAGTAGTAAACATAAATGTTGTATCCAAATCCATGTTGACTATTAGGCCTACATAACCAACATGACATGAAGGACCCTTGTGTTGGTTGAAGTCAAAATGAATTTTCCTTTGTTCCATGGTAGGCTACTGGATGCCATGATGGAAAGGGAACAACCCTGACTCTTACATCCGCAAATTCTATCAAAACATATCTGATATCGCGCCATCCGTAAGGTTGTAATGTGCGACATATTTTGTCATCCACGTTCAAGAGGTTAAAAACAAAGATTTTCAGTAGCCTAGTCTAGGTTATAACAGAGGACCATTGCAAAATAGCATCAAATCAAATTAATTTCTAATACCGGTATCTTAAGTATGATAGCTGAAAAGCTTAAATATACAAGTAATATCCACATTGACTATCTCTAAATGTCAGAAAAACAAAACTGAATAGGGCCTATGCCTTAGTTAAGGAAGTTATGTCATGTGCAATATTCCTGAAAGTGGGCAAAGTATTCCAAAACACCCAAATTTTGCTCATTTCCTACCATTCAATTTCAAATGTATGCTGCACAGAAAGCTGAAATTTGCAGGGCATAACATCCAGATTGACTCCCTCTACTCATTCTGACATTCATATTTATGAGGAGGAAAATAACCTTTAGGCTACTGGGCTTTAGCTTACGTCATACGAAAATGACGCAATTCTACACTCGATAAATTGACATGACAAGACTGTCAACACCTATTCCTTTTTTTGAGTATGAACACGGATAGTTAATAAACATTCTGATATAGAATTAAGTTTAAAAAAAGCGATAATTTACCCGAGGCGAGAAAAATAAATCAGCTAATTCCAAAAAGGTGTATAATTATTATGTATTTCAATCAGAATAGACTGAATGAGCCTCCTAAGCAGAAGAGTAATTATCTCCCTTGACTAGTGTGCAGTCAAACAACAATGCTTCAGATCACAGTTAATTTAACTTTAAACTTGTAGGCCTATACGGTTATATTTAGCTGACGCCGTCAGTGACTGTTGACCTTTGAAACCGATGGCGGCGATGGGTGTAAAGGTCCGAACTCTACCTATTCCCCGAGTTGACCAAAAAATGTGTCTTGTCGAGACAAGAATTCCGCTGTGCATAAACTTAGGAAGGACAATGAATGAAAATTGCCCCTCCCCCTTTCATGATTTTCAACTGACCACGGAAGGACAAAGTATGACATTTACTACATTTGTTTTAAATTGAAAATCATTACTCGCTACTTATAATTAGGCTATATATATATCTAGTCCATGATAACTGTCAACTTTTCTATTCGTTTAAATCTCAATTTCAAATTATTGAATGATATATTTAGGTATCCAAATGTTGCCCAAATTTCATTTAATTATTCTATACTTATTAATGTAAAACTGCATGAAGCAAGCGAAGTGAACAGAAGTCAAGGTTATAGCAGCTTAGCCAACTAGTAGCTACAGTGGCTGCGTCAGCCTCACAGAATACAAAACATAGGTACAAAATAGGGCCTAAACTGACTCAGTTTCGGCCACGCTGGTCATATTCGTCGCAACGACTTGATCTTAGGTCTTATATGTTCAATTACTTGATGTTGCGACATATTCATCGAGATTCGGAACTTCAAACCTGTCCAAGGAATCAAGAACCTTCATCCCCTATCTTCCCCTTTATTGTCATCACAATTCTTAGAGAACCAAAATCAATATTACCAAATCATATTTATTCATAAAATGAAATTGAGTTTTACGTATTACTTTTCGGTAATGAACAATATTTTTAATTAATATGAAACTCATTATCGATTTCTTACTGTTGTGGGATATTTAACGCGATAGCACAGAAGA